CGATTCCTTCAAAGCTGTGGAATCCTATTCATTACTATTACTATTATTTTTTGATCATTTTTCTGGGTCTGCGCATGTCTCTTGCTCCATCAGGTTCCTAACTCTGGCCAACGAACTGCGCTGTGATTATCCTATTCTTCCCGTACACCCGGTCGGGAGGTATTATTCTCACAGCATCATTATCACCGCCATCCATCATCTCCCTTTCCACTCCCTCTTCGCCCCCCCCAATCGCCATACTTCCCTGTACTTCTTCTTTTCCATCTCACACTCACACATTCTCTTCCTCCCCCTCCTCATCCCCCCTTTGTGTTACTAGTGCCTATTCTTATTCTTATTCTATTACTATTATTATTATTATTAGTATCCTAGTTGTGTTGTTACTATATCTCCTTGTCCTTTTTGTGTGTGTGTGTGTGTTTAGTTGGGTTGTACTTCTCTGCTATTATTATTATTATTGTTTGTCTTATCTAGAACTCCTATCTTCTCCCCGAGTGTATCCTACAATTTCCCTACCAAAAGTTCCCTCCTTCACAAACCATGCCTTATAATACTCGTCGAAAGTCACTGTCGCTTCCGTCGCTGGGGATTCACCTCCCTAGTGCCTCCCGCCGATCCCCGTCGGCCTCGAAATCGCCACACGCGACCGACGAGCAACTGCCTCCCTCCAAGAAAGTAAAGAGGTCGCACGACTCGTCTTCGCTATCTCCAGAGCCTACCTCGGTGTCGATATCGACAGCGAAGGAGCAGTTGCCTGTACGTTCGGTTGGTCGGCGCGGGGCGTTTGAACAAACGCCACCCCCATCGCCTATCGATGGAAGTGTCGCGCCCAAGATCGACACGGAGGGTATCAACGATGATATTGTGGTCGGCGTGATCGAGCAGTTGGAGAAGACAGGCAATCGTCCGCATCTGGTTAAAGAGCTCGCAGCCGTCCTAGTTACGCTCAATGAAAATGTCGCGAAGTACGTTTGGCGTGCCACCCTCCCCTACCGTGCGCTTTGATGTGAATACTAATTGTTCAATGTGCTACAGCTCCGCCAATCCCGCCGCGCTCCTTTCTTCCCGGTTGAGCACATACATGAAGCGTCCGTGGACAGCGCTCGCACCGTGTCCTCTGGCGAAGGAGCTGATTCCAGTTCACCCTCGCAAAGTGTATTACTACTTGACAACACTACCTCGCCAGCCTCTGCCTGAGAACTCGGACGATATTATCATCCCGGGTGTAGAAGGAAAGAACATCACTCCCAGTGTATCTAGCGCTGACCTAGATGAGGAAGACGCGTTGGCGCGGGAACGATCGCGCCTCAGCCCAAGCCCTGAGGTGGATCTGTCTCCCCCCGACTTCGAGGAAGAGAATATTGATCTGGATGCTCGCGATGATAGCGTGGCGAGACAATGTGCGACTGATTTTGACCATCAGCATGCGCGCCTCATGCACTCGAACCGGGCCGCTTCTCCTCCGTTGGAGGGTGATGAGAAGGAATTCACCCAAACTGCCAGCGCCGTTCGCGAGCGGGCCTCGGAGCAAAAAGCAAACCAGCTTGGAAAGGCCAAAAGTCTCTTTTCGGCCCTTTCAGAGGGGCTGAGCGAACTGGACGATGGGGCCATGAGCATCGCTGGAACTCCTGTTGAAGATAGTCCGCTCTCGTCAATTAATGGGGACCGCATGTCCGATAGCCCGGATGGCGACTACTTCTCGCATGGAAGCGTTATGGAACAGCCTTCCCTACAGGAGCAGTTGCAACAACAGCAAGACCTCGATGAGGCAGCCGCTGTTGCGCTGTTTGGCACTTCGCCCTCCCCATCGCTCACGTCCGTGGCCTCGTCAATCTCGTCTGGCACGAGTGTGGCTTCGGACGACGGTTTGGATGTCGAGGCGAACCCCGAGGGTATGGCAAGCGCACCGCAGATCAGTCTCCCCGAAGACCTTATCATCGCACCTGTCTCGGCAATGAAGCGGTCCATTGATATGCTCAACAGCGGGGTTCCGGATCTCGATATGAAGATGTCGGATCTGGTTGAACAGGACAGTAAGATGTCTCTGGCCCCCAGGGCCATGGCAGACACAGATGTCGAGATGGTCTTCGATTCCTGGAGAGATTTACAGAATCCCGAGAGTGTCGATGTCCACGAGCTCGATGAGATGTTCGGAGAGATCTGAGCAGAGGATGCGACGTAGCTTACGCGCATACCGCAATCGATAGACCTGGGAGGGGGGGCGCTTGGATTTGCTTTTTCTCTAGACTTTGACGCCTGGTTCGGAATTTCGTTCATCTCCACTCTCGCCTCGTTGCTATTATGCCTTGGCTCTACAACCTTTCGCTCCGCCTTACCTGTCTTCCTCTTACTCTAATCTTGTACAGCTTCATCTGATAATGCTTGTTTCTGAATTTCGTTTCACCTCTTTTGGCCAGAGAGCCTTTATCACCTGTACATATATTGTTGCTCTGTTTTGCTTTCTTTTGTTCCTTTGCATATCTCTCTTATCTGTGTTACTTTAATATCCCCTGACTGGTTTGGGTGTACTTGTTTCGTCGTTCTATTGCGGGGGGGTGGATTGCCATTTATACTAGTCGGCGCGATGGAAAAACAAAAGAAGGGGCCCATGATGTTACCAACGCCCGGAGAAACGTCTTAAGGGGTCTTTTTTTTTTATTAAAAAAAAAGGGAAGGGAAGGGAAGCTGGAAGATTTATGCCTGATGCCTTAATGTACATTTAGCGCCTGGTGGCTCACCATCATACTCTATTATACGACAGAATTCTTTTGCATCTTGCCATCAGACAGTATTTACTCGTAGTATAGTATTAATATGGAAGGATAGACGAGTAAGTAGATACTAGACCGTCTAGGGCTTGCGCAAAGGAAATGCATGGAAGAGCCACCTACGTGGTGAATGTCGTCATTGATGGAGTTTGATCTAATCGGGACGCGGTATCGACCAAACTGCCCGGTGATTGGAAGATACCCCTTGGGCTACGGAGTAAGTCCTCCGCCCCGCCTCTCGCATCAATCAGTTCCTCCTCCATCTTCCCTCATACTACTACTGCGAACTGTCCCATTCCTTGAGAGACCTCGTTGCCATGATATTTCCTTGCTCTACTTGGTAATATTGGTGAAAGTGCCGAGTAGTGCGGACAGAGAGGATCTGTTCCTGCACGACCATCCTCCTCGATCCCAGTCGCCTTTTTTAAGGTTCTATGCACCATGGTCATCCACTGGTCCGAACGTTTGTCTTATAGTCGATTTAAGCATTGAATTCAAAGCCATTGTCCAGCAAAGCAGAAGAACGAGAGGACGTTGCCAATCGCACAAACCACATTGTTATCCAGGCACATTGGACCGCTATCTGTCCTGGTGGTCTTGCTCCCGTCCGCTTTGTGGCGACACCCTCCGGCAAATCTCAAAACTCCAACATGGACGCACCTTCCAATTACCCTCAGTCAGGTTACAGCAGCGCGCGGGGTGAAGTGGTTCCCCAGAACTCTTTCAATACTCAAGGTAAGGTTATGATCGCCTCGAAGCCTCCAGCCTCGCGTAATTCGCAACTGTCGAATATACCTCCCCGGAGCAGCTTAGCTGGCAAGAAGCAATCTACCAATGCGAAGGTGGCCATCCCGCGGCAGAAAACGGGTGTTGTTTCCGGTTACAGTCGACGTGTACCTCTTGCCTGCGAATCCTGTCGGGGGCGGAAAACTAAGTGCAGTGGCGACACGCCAGTTTGCAGACAGTGCAAAGAATTGAGGGTGACTTGTAAGTACCCGGCATCATGGAGGGAGCGAACCAAAGGGTATGTTGACTACCCATGTCCTCTTGTCTTCGGTCATTGACGGCTGACTTCGAGATTAGGCAATTGGACAGTCTCTCGACCAAGGCCGAAGCGTATGAGAAACTATTGAGAGACATTGGAAACATTGTTGATGGCAGGACTGCAGAACAAATTAGAATCACACTGGATAAGGTCGGTGCGCTTTCTCATGTTTCCTTTTGGTTACCTTCCTGCATCCGACCCTAACACTCACATAGTATTCTGGTTCGGGTGGCGAACGGGCTTCTACTGGCTCGCAGTCCAGCTCAGCCACGCCGCAGGATAAAGACAGCTACCTCGAAGAACTGAGCTCCTCCTCCTCCATTGGATCCCTAGACGCCATCGACCGCGTGGAAGAGGATGTAAATCGAACTCCGAATTCTCGAGCTACTGGTTACATGGGGAAGAACTCGGAGGTTATCTGGATGCAGAGATTGCGAATGGAGACAGAACAACGCCTCCGGAAGGAACCAGGGGCCTACGAAGCTGAGCCTGAGGGAGAATTTGCTATACATTCGATGAACTATCATTTGGACGATCTGGATGTCTCGGTTCCCGGCCCTGTGCAGGTGTATTGGATCCCTCCCCGTCCTTTGGCGGACAAGTTGTTTGAAGATTACCTGGAGACGGTGCACCCGTTTTATCCTATCATCAGCCGCACACTGTTTCGTGCCCAATACAGAACCTTCTTTGACAGTGCTGCTCGGCCTGGTGATAAATGGCTGGCCATTCTTAACTTGATATTTGCCATCTCCGCCAAACATGCTCACCTAACGCAGGCACCATGGCGTGGCGATGACAACGATCATTTAGTGTACTTGACTCGGGCCCGGATCCTTAGCATGAATGGTGATGCTCTTTTTAGCCATCCCGATCTTCAGCAAGTGCAGGTCGAGGGCTTGGTTGCTTTCTATCTTATGGCATCAGACCAAATCAACCGGTATGTATCTCCTCTCATTCTTTTTTTCTTCTTTTTATTTCCCCTTTCACCGTGCGGTTGGTGTGGGGCTTGTCTTGAGCGTTCTTCTGATTGTTTGTTTAGAGCTTGGAAGATCACCGCGTTGGCTGTGCGTTCGGCAATCTCACTCGGATTGAATATGAAGAATACCAGCGAAAGCACGCCTGGTATCTCAAAGGAGGCGCGATATAGGGTCTGGTGGTGTGTCTATACATTTGAACATATGCTTGGGATCATGACGGGCAGGGTTTCTTGCATTACGGATGGGATATGTACGACGCCTTTGCCTCTACCATTCGAGGAAGACCAGCTTCGAGAGCCAGCTGCGGCTAAGCTTCTTAACAACCAAGACCTTCGCCAGGAGCTGGTGGAATCGGCCCTGGCAAGTACCCTTGTTCGCCACATGCCCTCAAATCCCCAGGGAGGTAAGGAGGCCCAACATACAGACAAACTGCGTGATGCTTCTTGGCTGAAGGGTCAACCTATCAGTAAGACGCTGATATTCCTTTATTATGTGGACCTGGCAGTTGTCGCTCAGGAAATCGTCAACCGGGTGTATTCGTTGGACTGTGCCATGGTACCCTGGAGGCACATCGAGAACCGCATTGGGGAGCTTCGATCCCGAATTGACATATGGTGCACCAACCTTCCGGGGGCGTTAGACTTCACCCGGCGGGACGACCAAGGTATGGATATGCTTCGTGGAAAGCTTTTCTTGGCATTCCAATACTACAGTGCTCGGATCACCTTGGGACGTCCGTGCCTGTGTCGCCGCGATGCTCGACATACTAGCCCTCAGCAAAAGCCCTCTTTTAGTCATGAAATGGCAGAGATAACTCTAAATTCTGCACGGCAGATGCTGGACTTGATTCCAGACGAACCTAACGCTGTCCAACTCTACCACATTTGTCCTTGGTGGTGCGTTCTGCACTATCTTATGCAGACGACCACGGTCCTCCTGCTTGAATTGTCGTTTGGTTGCATTCATATGCCAGCTGAAGAGAGAGGTATTTTTGAAGCATCAAAGAAAGCCATACGCTGGCTCTTTGCCATGTCCGAATGTAGCCTCCCAGCACGGCGTGCATGGGAGCTGTGTGACAGTAACCTTCGACGAATTGCCATCGGCATGGATTATGACTTGAGTGATCTGCCAGTCCTAAACTTTGGCCCAACATCGCACGGACACATGGCCCCAAATACTGGTGGTAATGCTGGTATGGGTGCACCTGTCAGCCAAGCCGCGCCGCCTATGCCTGTTTTCTACGACACAGTCGGTGGCCCAAATCAACAGCCGGTTCAGACTCAATACCATTATGACCAGAACCAGCAAGCGTATTCTGGAGTTCCAGCGATTGATCCGATCTCGTCGACCCTCGGACTTTCTGCCTCTGGAACCGATGCCTTCTTCCCTTACGACCCCATCAGTGGGGAGTTTATTCGCTCCTTCTTCCCCATTCCCAATGAGGAAGAGCCATGGGAACAAAATTAAGATGTTCGCAAAAATTTTCAATTCTCTGTACAAAATAATTTTTGCCACTACTAACGTCCGTTGTTGGGGGGTTTGCTTATCTGTATTTTCTACAGTTTTCTATCACAATGTTCAACGATAAATGCTCTATATCAATTTGTTTATGCGCGGTCTTCGGCACCAGTTGGGTTTAACAGCATATCATCAGCGTGCAAGGAGTTATCAAAAGAGAGATCGGGAGTTTGTCATATGGTGCTACAGTATGATAGATGATGGGTGGCTGGCTCGTGACTTTAATTTTGTTTAATCGGATTGCTCGGAAAACCCCACTGATGTCTTTTAACGAAGTTCGAAATCAAAGTTATCCTTCCAAGATGAATCACCCTTGTAAAAGAGATAGACTCTATATAACAGATAACCGTCTATGCGCTATGCTATATACTATTATTAACCTGGTATCTAACATATCTATCATACACACAAAACAGCACTAAGAATTTCCAGGATAGTTGAAGCAGTAAAATATAGTACATGTATACAAGGGTAGTCTATCGGAACACCACCTCACCCTTAGCCATAAGCAAGCTCTTATTGCGCGATGATATCACCGCCTCGCAGTCGCTGTCTTTTCATTCTCTTCAACTCTTTATTCCTTCTGTATACGAAGCCACCGCATTCGATGTTTATACTAGCTCGCCGGAGACCGAGGGCCTCGAATTTCTTCACACAGAAGTCGAGGCTGGGTCGGGCGGGGTTATGCTGAGGATGGGTAGTTCTGGGATATGCATATGCTTGAGGAGATGGAGGTGATTTATCGGGAATGGTGTGCGAGTGTTTAGCTTCGTATTCATCGTACTCCTTCACTGCAGCTTGGGCGATAATACGGACGGTGGATATATTGGGAATGACCAGTTTGGTCTGGAGTTGTTTGAAGTATGCCTCGTCGAAGTGAGGGTTGCCCTTTTTGAAGTCCCGTTCGGTGTTCAGGTAGAGACGGGGGATGCCGCCTTTCTGGAGACGGCGGGCGGATGGGTGTTGCACGTCGACGCACCAGGTGTCCCAGAGCCGTTTGCCGGCTGCGCTGCCTCGGGTGTCAACTACGGCAGCGAGGATAGGGTGAAAGGCTTTGGAGGGAATCTGAGGGGTTGTGCTTCGGGCGAGCTTTTGGGAGCGGAGATTGGAGGAGGCGGCGACATCGTGGAGGGCGCCGGGGATGGAAAGGAAGAGGCGTTGCAGGCCGTGGAGGGAGCGCTCCTGGTAGTTGTCTCTTGGGTGAAGTTCGTTGAAGTCACCGTTGAGAATTTGCAGCAGGATGCCCTTTGCTTGTGCTAGGTTCTGGATATTGTCTTCCGCTTTTGTCGCGTCGAGTTCCGTGGTGACGGCATGGTCTAATCTGATGATTTCGGCGGCTAATGCGGTGACATTGCTGTGGCCCCAGGATTTAAGGCGGTAGTCGCGGAGATATTCTAACATCAGTGTTACCAGATTCCATTGGCACATTGCAATTCGGTAGTTCAAGAGGACTCGTAGGGTATTCGCAGAGAGGGGCGGTAAAAGGGACTGGACAACTGAATCGCAGAGCGTGCTATTCTTGGTAGCGGTAGCGTAACGAATAATTGAAGGTGCTAAGGCTTGATTCCCGTATGCGCTGCGAGGAATCGGGGGCCCATCAATGTCGTCCGAGAAGAGTAGCCAGTCGCCGAATGTGAATGCGCGAGACACCGTCACCAAGTCTAGGAGTTCAGCCAGCGTAATAGGCGAAATTTGTGGCATTGACGATTCAAACGGCTTCAAGGAGGCCAGATTGGTAGTATCGAAAGTTGGAAGCTGCTCGTCATCGGACGGGTCCACGCGTGAGGAGAAGAATTCACCTATGCGTTGCATCTTGCTTTTGTCAACTGCGCTCTGCAGCCAGGCGAATGAACCCATAGCATCTTCGCACAGGTGTCGCCGGGAGTGGAACCGGATGTTGTGTTCGACGAGTTTAGCTAAGGCTGTTGTTTCGTCATAAATCTGGGACGGCTCAAGTTGCTCCAAATCGTCCTCATCAGGCAAGTACAGGTCATTACTGTCCCAGGGCGGAACAACCTGAGGAATGGCTCTGACGAGCTCATCAAACGCGTGGGGATCAGCCTCAGGATTGAGACATCCTGATTCAAGAACACGAAGAATGAACCAGTTAGATTCCTTAGCCGTAGCTAAAGGGGTATCATCGGTCGCCCTCGGCGCCAGTGTGAACTTGAGCGAAGAGACATGACGAAGAAGCGCAGCCGACGTTATACCCCGAAAGCCTAACCCTCGATAGCCCCAGTTTGGAAGATTATCCAACAGCGAAGCGGCTACCTCCAAGCTGATTGTTCGCTTCCCTAGTCCATTGAATGGGGAAGGGCTACTACGCTTTCGGAGAAGCGAAGGACCGTCGACTTGGGCCGGATGGCGCCAGGATACTGCTGAGTCAACCTTAGTGTTCCATATAGACTGTGGATGTTGAAGTAGGGGTCTCCAGCTTTGGAATTTCCAAGCCAGATCCCCTTTCCGTGTCTTCATCTGGTCAATGAGCCATACGCCCTCTGCGATATGTCCATGTTCCACACAGCACCAAAGAATTAACTCTATCCAAATCTCAGGCCCAAGTTCTCGAATGCCCATTTTGAAGGGAAGGAAAGGCGAGTCTTCACCCGCCGCAGCTGCTTTGGCCGCCACTTCAGCTTCGTGTACAAGCCAGGCTGCATCCGACAGAACGCTCATGATATGTGTTGAGAGTAGATGCATTGTCGGCGGTCGAAAGGCGACCTGATGGCTATCCGGAGGGACATATTTATATACCCTATCAGATACTGCACCGGAATGGTGCAGACGAGCAAGTATTCGAAATACATAAGACATTGCTATCTTCGACTCATTTGGTGAGGCATCAGCAGCATCAAGCACAATTGAGCCCAGGCTCTGCCATACTTGTGCCATGAACCGTCGGGAATGTTCATCCGCATATGCTCTCTCAGTTAACGTATCTAGACTTGTCAACTCAGAAACCTGTGTTGTCGGTTCTGGCGTGAGCCGTGGTGCCGAGTCTATCTGATGGGTCAATTGATCAAGCGAAACACTGGATTTGTAACCCCAGCTGCTAGCGAACAGAGGCTTAAGTGAGAGGGAGACATCGTTCAGTGCATCTGTGGCATCGAGCAGCTGATTCAGTAACGCATAAACAGCAGGCCAATTGTTCAACCGGTACCCTAGATGAGCTAAAAGATCTAGATCCCCATGCATTCTTGCGTTGGATAATAGCTCACCCAAGTCGATTGCTCGACTGATGGACGCTGGGGTGTTTATCGAAGCAGCGTCCAGTTCGAAAGCTGTACTGCCACTTCCGGATTCTCCTTGCAAGTATTGTTCCAGAAGTAAAGCCCACGCTTCCGGGTTTTTTTGTGATCCGCGTACCGGGAATTCCTTAGATTCCGTATGAATGCGATCACGCAGCATTTGACGGTTGATCGAAGGGCTGGAGCCCACCGAGAACTGGCGACCCCATTGCCGCCTTCCCAAGGAAGGTCTCCAACTTGGGAGCCCTTTGTGCTGGGAGTAGCTGAGCAGGCGATATGGAGAGACTGATGCAGTATGGAGCAAGTGAGACCTGCGGTCCAGACACAGCAGACGAGCTGGACACAGGGACCTTTTCATGACACGACGGAGGATCTATCGGACGAGACCTGCGGGCGGAGGGAATCCAAATTTCGATGTGACCGGCGGACGGACGTTCTGTAGCGCATGTCTAGCCATTCAACTGATACCGCATCGCCTTGAGAATAATTTAAAGCGAACGAATACCACCGACTAATCCGAATTGTTCTGGTAGGCTGTCCGGAGCGTTCGTTTCACCTTTGGCGAGGGTTTGTTGAATCTCGATCGCAGAAAAAGCTTCCCCGATAGCGCTGACTCAGCATCATACAGCCAATCATCGCCGGGATGTTTACTGCTGTCACATGTCTAGCTTTGCTACATTTGGCAGTCTAGATATACTTAGGTGTTCACCTACAATATCATATCCTACTATTTGTATAAATATATACATATCTACGTGATTCAAATGGCACGAGCACAATTTAAGAGGCACATTGTCTCCAAGATAAGCCGATATGGTATATTCAGCTGCTATCAAACATGGTGACACCCGGTGCCGGGTGTCACCCCGAACGAATGACTGATCCAGCAATCTATCCATTCATCGACCAACCAAACTCACGGTCTCAGCAATGAACCAAACTTTACGGGGCCGCCTAGACGAAGATGGGGCGGACCTGGCGGGCATGTCTGCGCTGGAAAGCAAAGACCGGAGAGCTAGAAGGAGGTGGAACTCCGCTCGAGGAAGGAGTTGGCCACGAACCCGTAGGGCGAATGCCGGTAGGACGCGGAACTCCGCTAGGCCATGGGGTAGGAGTGACCGAAGGTGTGCTAGAAGGCGTTCCGGAAGGCGTACCAGATGGCTAGAACGGTTGTTTAGCTGGGTTTTTCGCAATTTGATGGCATGGCTACTCACAATAGGAAAAGGAAGGATAGTAACATGGCCAAGGTCTTCCTGAGCAAGAGCCGGGGAAAAGAAAAGAGCAGCAGCTCCCAAGAGAGTGAAGGCCTTCATGATGATATGGAAGTTTGGTATGTAAAGGAGTGGTATAGTATTGATTGGTTTGGTCAAATGAATGAAATGAAAGTATACAATATGGAAAATCCGTGCACAGCACTGGTTGAGAAAAGAAAGGATGATTGAGAGGGAAAGGCCATCAGTTGCGATCTATGAGCTTATATATCTATGGAAGGGCCAAGAACCACTTTTTTTTCTTACGATCAGGATGGCACCGATCAACAGGGCCACACCCTCCTTTCGGAATATAGTTGCAAAGGGTCCTTATTGTGTTAGGGCTCGGAGGATTCGAGAGTAGACCCTTCAAGGCCCTGATCAACTCGGCAAGACCGAGAGACCCTAGACTAAGGGGCCCTGGAACAGCTTACTGTTGACCTATCCAGACGCCGAAGCATCAGACACGGGAGAGACGGTGCACTAGCTCCAGAGTACTGCCGTGCTGATGGCATACGACCCGAGCGCATCTCTCTGGCGTTTCTTGAAGCAATAACTGTAAGTGGAGGGAAATAAGCCCTGTAATGTGCATCGGAAGGTCCAATCACTTCACCAGGGTGACGCTAAGACGGCATGACATTAAGAAATGTATACCCGATTGAAGATCATCAGTTCCCTTGACATAATTTCATCCATCAATGGGGTCATGCTGCAGGAGGGGGTTGGCTGGCCGTGGGCGGGTGGACATGCAGACTCGTAATTTCTCCAGAGAATGGTGAACTAACTGAGTGACTCCCATGGTTTT